AACAACAGACACTTGATGTTTATTAACATGATACTATAGTAACATGTTAGTTTAGGTACATAACAACAGACACTTGATGTTTATTAACATGATACTATAGTAACATGTTAGTTTAGGTACATAACAACAGACACTTGATGTTTATTAACATGATACTATAGGTAACATGTTAGTTTAGGTACATAACCCGCTGCAGCAATTACAGTCCCTCTTCTCTGGAACTTACCGGTCGTACTTTTTATTAGTAAAGCTAGTCCACCACTTAGGTACATTATGAATCCTAGCCCGTGGTATCCAAGAAACTAAATAATTGACAAATATATAACATTAACTACCTTACAGACAGAGAAAAGATATTGTCTTTACTTTAACGTGTTAATTGTTGTTTAATAATAGGGTCAAAATACCACAGGCATGACACTTTAAAATAGATATTTCAGAGAGCTGGTTGGTAAATTATTTTATATATTTACAAAGATGAGAGAGTCAGTTGTTCGAACATCTCGGGTAAATCTGATGACGAGTGACCCACTTTTTAGAAAATAAAGTTTGGAGATAGCTTGAATGATGTACCTGATGATGACACGATGATGATGGCTGGCCGAAACGTTGTACATTTGTAATAAAGATTCTTTTACTACCCATTCAAATTGTCTCCAAACTTTATCTTCGGTAAATTGTTAATTATATATTTACAAAGATCAGACACGACATACTTACAAAAAGTGTGTTCTGGAAAAGGGGAGATGACGTCATGGACAACAAAGATGTTATCAACATTACCAAGGTGGTTACGAAATATCCAAACGATAAAAGAAGTAGAAAGACGATACTAGGTGGTCCTGCCCAATACTTTCCATTATAATTATTTTCTCCAGCTTTCAAAAGCAAAGACATGCATGTTAGGCCTACCACCTGTGTAAATATCGAATAATCGTTTTAGTGTCCAAGATTACAAAAAAAAATCTGAAGAACTAAACAAGTTTGAAGAAGCATTTATTAGAACATTATGGATAGGTTTTCCTCATTAACTTTTATTATTAGTTATTTGTTTGCTAAACGTCGCGCAAATCTACATAATACTATCTACGTTAGTCTTCCCTAATTCTGAAGCGATAGACTAGACGAGAATCAGTCAGTTAACACGCTTACCGTCAACTCTTGCTGGAACGAGCAGTTAGATATGACCGTCATTCTTATAACGAACCCAAGATGCTCGGCTGATACGTGTTGAAAGGGGTGTTTTATGTCGTGCTGCACGTGAAGAAACGCTGAAAGTGTTTTTTTTTCTGTACTTTCTCTAATAATGGACACGTAGTTTTTTCGACTATTAAGTATTAAATCCTTCATATTTAGACGAAAATTTTTTACCTATTCTTTAAATTTACGTGTATGTACGAAAAGAGATTTAAAACTGTATCTTCTGTTTAGGGATCCTTGTTATGTGTAAAAAAACAACAACAACAAAGTACTATTTAGTGTTAACCCCTTCTTATCTACGAAGCAAATTTTTATGACTCCTTAGACCCCACCCCATATGTAGAAATATTCATATCTAAATATATTTCGTGATAATAAAGATAACTACTGTTAGTCGTTAATATATCTTTAACATATTTTATAAATCGTTTCAGTATATTTTAAGAACTCTTATTAAATGTAGATGGTGCTGTCCTCTATTTTGGTAACTAAAATCAATTAAAATCCTGGCAAAACATTAATTTTTCATTATACAATCTTTATTCGGACTGATATAACGAAAAGGTAAAATATAGATAAAGTAAAAAATTAATGTTACTATAATATCATGTTAATAAACATCAAGTGTCTGTTGTTATGTACCAAAACTAACATGTTAGTATAGTATCATGTTAATAAACATCAAGTGTTTAGAGTTTGTTATGTACCTAAACTAACATGTTACCATAGTATCATGTTAATAAACATCAAGTGTCTGTTGTTATGTACCTAAACTAACATGTTATTATAGTATCATGCTAATAAACATCAAGTGTTTAGAGTTTTAAGTTGACCAATAATTATTTACTTTCATTGTTTAATAATACATTAAGTTGACCAATAATTATTTACTTTCATTGTTTAATAATACAGTAAGTTGACCAATAATTATTTAAACAATATAAGTAAGTAAATAATTATCGGTCAACTTAATGTATTATTAAACAATGTAAATAAATAATTATTGGTCAACTTACTGTATTATTAAACAATACAAGTAAATAATTATTGGTCAACTTACTGTATTATTAAACAATGTAAATAAATAATTATTGGTCAACTTAATATTGTTTAATAATACAGTAAGTTGACCAATAATTATTTACTTACATTGTTTAATAATACATTAAGTTGACCGATAATTATTTACTTTCATTGTTTAATAATACAGTAAGTTGACCAATAATTATTTACACTTTCATTGTTTAATAATACATTAAGTTGACCAATAATTATTTACTTTCAAATTATAATACAGTAAGTTGACCAATAATTATTGAAAGATAATTATTAACTTTCATTGTTTAATAATACAGTAAGTTGACCAATAATTATTTACTTTCATTGTTTAATAATACAGCAAGTTGACCGATAATTATTTACTTACATTGTCTAATAATACAGTTCAAGACATTTTCGGTCGTAATCCCAACACGAACTAATGACACAAAAGATTCTTCATAATTGTAAAAATTATTCAGAATTTTTATACACAATAATATTTAATGAAAATAACTATAAAGAAAAATAGTGTAGGTTATTAAATATTAAACGCGTACATGATATCAGTGTTCAAAACTGCTCAAAACCACGTATTATATATATATATATATATATATATCATACATGTTACTTTACCTGCAGCAGTGCTTGTCCTACACATTTGTATTTTATACTTATATCAAATATATCTGTCACCATCCATAATTTCGAATTCCTAATCAGTCATCATTACTAGCCAGCATACATGTTAACGGTTTGACTGTCACTCATATAACACGCCCAAAGCTTATATAGGGGTGAATATTTTACTTTACTGCACGGATTCGAACCCAGCTCGTCAGCTTCGAAATCCAAAACTCTACAACAGTATTGTATCCATCATTAAGAAGTAAACCACGTCAATATAAAATATTGGAAACTGATTAGCTGATGGATATATACATGAATTTCTTGTGTACTAAATATTGCTATAGGAACCAATATATACTCTAGACGTTAATAAACAATCATATTTGTACACTTTGGTTTTTTTTATAGGTCATGGGGCTGATCAACAGTGGGCTATATCTAGCCCTATTCATCGTTGCTTACAAGAGATACAGATAAGACCATCAAGTGATCGAGCAGCATACTTTCCCCGTACTTGTTATACGTTTCTTCTGATCTTTAATTAAGATATTGTCTGAATCATTTATCACTTCTGTTTCATTTTAATTCTTAGACATTTTCTGAATCCTGTATTAGCAGACATTCGTTGTAATTTTTGATTATATGTGTATTAATTGTACGTCATTAAAAACGTATTTGACAAATGTAAATTGTTTATACAACTAAAGTATTACTACTTGTCTACTGATGTAAAAGATCTAATGTATATTCATTCACTTTATAATAATAGCTAAATACACAATACCGTATAAACAAACGTTGGACTGAAGAGGTCATGTCAAGACTGGTTTACATATAAGTTTGATAACGTTCTGTTGGTTTAGATTTAAACATTCACGGTTATCACTTTGATTGGGTCTAAATTAATGACAACTGACGTCACTAAGAAAAATTTCTAAATTTTTATACAGTCTTAAGGCATATCATTATGTAGCTAGTTGCGACAGCTTTACTGACCTGTGAGTGTGTAGGAGTATCAGCGTATAGCACTACCTGGGAGTGAAATTAAAATATATATTACATACTTGTAACGACTCCTACCTGTCATGATATGTTTATTATTCTATCAACTTCTAATAGTTTTGGAGTTTGATTCAGTAACTTACCAATAGGCTGAGAGTTTAGACCATGGTTGATTCAGTAACTTACCAATAGGTGGAGAGTTTAGACCATGGTTGATTCAGTAACTTACCAATAGGCTGAGAGTTTAGACCATGGTTGATTCAGTAACTTATCAACAGGTGGAGAGTTTTAAAGCATGGTTGATTCAGTAACTTACCAACAGGTGGTTAATTTAGAACATCATGAGAATATTATTGTGTTCAGCAAATAGCAAAAACCATCAAAATATAAACACAAACACATTAGAGATTTTATGTTTTTAGTTTTGTTAATATTAGACATGGAGTCCTTGTAAAAGGAACATAAGCAGGAACCAATTAAACTCCTCCGATTTGTGGTAGTATTTTGATGACGATTTGAAATTATCATCACAAATTTAAACATTTGAAATAAAAATTTTAAATCCTTTTTGGCCAATTTATATACAAAAACTTTGAAGACAGATCAAGTATATTATAGATACATACGGAAATAAAAAAGTAACAGTAAATTTTATAATAATAATATTAGTGGAGTTCAGTCTACATTAGTTTAATAAAGAAAGCTTTATGTAAATAGGTCTTGCTGATACAGGAACAACATACATGATATTTATATACCGAGAAATAAACAAGTAGGGTGCCACATAACGTAAATATTTTGAACCGTAAATTACACTAAGTTTTATTATAAAGTTGAAACAATGAAAACCATATTTAACTTCGTACAAAAATATTTATTGGAAACAATATTTTCTTCTGAAGAATAACCAGCTGAAATTAAAAGCTAAAGATAGATATAATTACACCAGGATAGTACATTTGGTAGAACAAATCACATGTTATTGAATTGAGGTTTTATAGTTTCAAATATGAGATTCATAAACCAATACTGTAAGTTTTAGAGGTGGGCTCTTTATGCTTTTCATACATACAAATACTCTGTTTTGTAAAATATTAATTCCTGAGATTTCTTCATTTTTTTACACAACTCCATAGACAGAAATCCAGAACTTGTAAACTTTTTTTTTAATGTATAAAACTTAAGCCTTTCTCTATTGTTTTTCATAATAGTAAACATTTAAATAGCCTGAAACTGATCTCCAATACTATATCATTGTCCTTCTAGAAAGATTTTTTTTTATAAAAACTACTGAATAATCTATGTTTTAAAAGAAAACTAAACACAAAGATTTCAAACCCAAACTTAACTTCAATTCCACGATCACGAAAAAAAGAAAGCCACAAAAATTTAATCTTAAACCTAACTTTAATTTTATAATCACAATAAACGAAGCCATGAATTTCAAGTATTGATTAGAGACGATGTGTAGTTTTAATAAAAACCTATCTTGTAAATTACTGTGAAACCCTTTTGGTACATCAATAATAAAAAAAAAATTATTAAGAACAAGAAAATACCCATTTGTAAAACAATATCGTGTTAAAAAAAACTACAAAAATATTGATACAATGTTGTTTTTTTTTAATCAATCTTGTTAACCTAGTACAAGCAGAACAGACAAAACATAAGACAATTATTGATTGGCCACAACATAAACGATATATGGAACAAACACAAATAACTTTTAAACAATAATTAATTAATCATCCTATTAAAGCTTTATAAGAATTTATTTCCTCATCACTCAGAAACTCTGAATGTACTTCAAGATGAATAGTCAAGAGTTACAAGGATTCCTTTCAAGTGAGTATTTTAAATAATGTATGACAGCTAGATTCCTTCGGATTTTCAACCAAAACTACTTACTCAAGGGTTATCTGCTCTAACTGTCCCTATTTTTGAATCATTAGACTAGAGGGAATACAGCTAGTCAACAGCAACCACTAACAACTCTTGGGCTACTCTTATGTGACCAAATAGTGAGATTTGACTGTCACTCTTATAACTTGCACATGACTTCAAAATCACAAGTATAGTTATACAGCAACAGAATGTGAACTATGAACTTTCAGATTCACAGTCTGTCACGTTAACCAGTAGCAGAATGTGAACTACGAACTTTCAGATTCGCAGTCCGTCACGTTAACCAGTAGCAGAATGTGAACTATGAACTTTCAGATTTGCAGTCCATCATGTTAACCAGTAGCAGAATGTGAACTATGAACTTTCAGATTTGCAGTCCGTCACATTAACCAGTAGCAGAATGTGAACTATGAACTTTCAGATTTGCAGTCCATCACATTAACCAGTAGCAGAATGTGAACTATGAACTTTCAGATTCACAGTCCGTCACGTTAACCAGTAGCAGAATGTGAACTATGAACTTTCA